CTTTCTTTCTATCTATTTACCATTTCTATTACCATTTCTTCTTTACCATTTTTGTTTACCATTCGGCTTATTTACCACTTCTATTACCATTTCTGTCTATTTACTAATTTCTTTTTACCATTCTGTCTTTATTTACCATTCTGCCTATTTCATTCTTTTACCATTTACCTTTTACCATTTTAATTTTACCATTTTGTCTATCCCCCATTTAACCCATTCCATTTACCATTTCAGTTACTTTCCATTCCATTACATTTCTGCCATTTACAATTTCTATTTACCATTTCCATTTACATTTCTATTTACCATTTCCATTTACCATTTTTATTTACCATTTACCATTTCATTTCTTTACCATTTTCCATTTACCATTTCAATGTTCTATTTACCATTTCCACTACCATTTCCATTTACCATTTCTGCCCTCTGTTGCCTATTCTTTTTACCATTTCTGTCTATTTACCATTTCTATTTACCATTTTTGTTTACCATTTCTGCCAATTTACCATTTCAATTTACCATTTCTGTCTATTTACCATTTCTTTTTTACCATTTCTGTCTATTTACCATTTTTTATGTCTATCGAATCATCAGTAAATTCAGCGTTTAGATCAGTCCTCGAACTGGCTTGTTTTTTCGTCCTTTTTATCTATTCATTCATCGGTTTATCTGTCTAGTTCGCCTTTTAAAGATAAAGATCAATTAGTCCATCGTTTGTCTACTCACCAAACTCTCATTCTCGCTCTCCCTCTTTCTCTTTCTCTTCCTGTCTTTCTTTCCCTCTCTCTCTTTCTCTTTCTCTTTCTCTTTCTCTTTCTCTTCTCTGTCTTTCTTTCCCTTTCCCTCTTTCTCTTTCTCTTTCTCTTCCTGTCTTTCACTCTCACTTCCCTCTCATTCATTCTCTCCCTCTTTCTCTCCCTTTCTTTCTCCCTCTTTATCTCCCTTCCTTCCTTTCCCTCTCCCCTCCCTAACTTTCCTTCCCTTCCCTCTCCTCTCCACTCCCTCTCCTTCCCTCTCCCTCCTTTCACTTATCAATTCAATCAATCAATTACCTATCCAGTACTTTTTTTTTGCCATACCCTCCCCCCCCCTCCTTACCCCACTTCCTATACCCCATATACCACCATACCCTTACCATTACCATACACCATACCCATACCCCATACCACCATACCATACCCCCATACCACCATACCACCATACCATACCATACCCCATACATACCCACCATACCCATACCCCATACCACCATACCTCATACCATACTTACCACCATACCATACCCCATACCACCATACCCACCATACCCCATACCACCATACCCTCATACCCCCATACCACCATACCACCATACCCCCATACTACCCCATACCACCATCTACATACCCCTCCCTAAATCATCTACCCTACCCCCCCCCACCCCTCCCTCCGCCCCGTCCTCCCAGTGCAAGGTACAAAAAAAGCTAAAAAAAAAAAAAAAAAAAAAAAAAAAAAAAAAAAAATAAAAAACAATAAAAATAGATGTAATTAAAAGAGACTGAGAAGTGGCGAGGGGGAATCACGTTATCCCATGGTTTAGAGAAAAGAATTGTGTAAATTAATTTCGTTTTTTTTTTCTCTCTCTTTTCTTTCTTTTTTTCTTTTTGTTTTTTCTTTCTTTCTTGTTTTTTTCTTTCTTCTTTTCTTTCTTTCTTTCTTTTTTTTTTTCTTTTCTTTTTGTTTTTTTTCTTTCTTTCTTTTTTTTTTTTTTCTTTCTTTCTTTTTGAGTGTGTTTGAATGCACTTTGTGATTCTGTGCTTTGTCGTTTCTTTGTAATTTAGCCTCAATCATTGCACTGAAACATGTCGACTTATTCTCTCTCTCTCTCTCTTCTATCTATCTGTCTATCTGTTTGTCTATCTGTCTGTCTGTCTGTCTGTCTTTCTCTCCTGTCTCTCTTTCTCTCTTCTCTCTCTTTCTCTCTCTCCTCTCTCTCTCTCTCTCTCTCTCTCTCTCTCTCTCTCGTCTCTCTCTCTCTCTCTCTCTCTCTCTCTCTCTCTCTCTCTCTCTCTCTCTCTCTCTCTCTCTCTCTCTCTCCTCTCTCTCTCCCTCCCTCTCCTTCTCCCTCTCTCCCTCTCCCTCTCCCCCTCTCTCCTCTCCCTCTCATTCTCCCTCTTCCTCTCATTTCTCCCTCTCCCTCTCTCCTTCTCTCCTCTCCCTCTCCTCTCTCCCTCTCCTCTCTCCCTCTCTCAATATGTCCTGATCTTCCCCTCTATATCCGTGTCGAGTTGTCCATTGACGATGATTGACCCTCGCCTAATGACAACGCAACCCGTATTTAGCGCGAGGTTGCACTGGGTTCACTGCTGGCGCGATTACACAACCCTGATGAAGCGAAGGGGGAGGCGGTGTTATTCTGTGCTTCTATTTTGCATGCGGGGTTTTGTGTATACTAGAGAGGGATGGGAGGATGGGAGGGATGGGGAGGTATTGGGATGGGAGGGATGGGGAGGATGAGTGAGAGAGAGAAGGAAGGGAAGGAAGGAGAGGGAGTGAGGGATTGGGAGAGTGGAAAAGAGAGAGAGAGGAAAGATAGAGAGAGAAGGAGGAATGGGATGGGAGGGATGGGGAGAGTGGAAAAGAGAAAGATAGGGAAAGAGGAAGGGAAGAAGAGAGAGAGGGAGGGATGGGGAGAGTGGAAAAGAGAGATGAAAGAGGGAAGAGGGAAAGGGAGAGAGAGGGAAGGAGGATGGGAGAGTGGAAAAGAGAGATGAAAGAGAAGAGGAGGGAGGGAGGGGGGGAGAAGAAAAAGAGATGAAAAGAGGGAAGAGGGAAGGAAGGAGAGAGAGAGGGAGGAATTGGAGAGTGGAAAAGGGAGATGAAAGAGGGAGAGAAAGGGAGGATTGGGAGAGTGGAAAAGAGAGAGAGAGGAAAGAGGGAAGAGAAGGAGAGAGAGGAGGGAGGGAGGGATGGGAGAGTGGAAAAGAGAGAGAGAGAGGAAAAGAGGGAAGGGAAGGAGAGAGGAAAAGAGAGGAGGAAAGAGGAAGGGAAGGAGTGAGGAGTGAAGGAGAGAGAGGGAGGAGGGAAGGGAAGGAGAGAGAAGGAGGAGGAGTGAAGGAAGGGAGTGAGTGAAGGAGAGGAAGAGGGAGAGAGAGGGAGGAGTGAAGGAGAGAGGAGGAAAAGGAGTCTGTGGCAATAGAAGAGAGAGAGGGAGAATGGAGAGATGGAGGTAGATCGACAGATGGATAAATAGACATAGACTTATATAGGGCGAGAAAGGAAGAGAGAGGAAAGGAAGGACGTATATTCGGACAGAGAACGGATAAAGAGAGGAAGAGGTAAATCGAAAAATGGATAGATAGATGAACAAACGAAAGAGAGAAAAAGAGAGAGGAGGAGAGGAAAGGAAACGAAAGAGAAACAAGAGAGACGTAGAGAGAGAAGTAAATAGATAGATGGATAGATAGATGAACATTCAAGAGAAAGAATGGGGGAAGGAAGAGAAGGATAAGAAAGAGAAAAGGAGAGACGGAAAGAGAGAAACTAAAATGTACACATAAACACACGTAAACATATATTCGAAAAGTAAAACGAATAAAAATATATATGAATATATATCCTCATTTTCGCAATTAAATAAATCAAAACAGACAAAGAAACAAAAATACAATTTAAAAGGCAACAAATTTATCCTTATCACTCTTTATAATTCCTTTTCTTTTTTTTGTTGTTGTTTTTTTCTTGTTATTGTTATTGTCTCTTCATTTCTTTTTCTTTTTATTTCCTTTTTGTCACACTCTTTGTCTTCCTCTCTTTATCCTTATTCTTCTTTCTCTACTTTCTTATTCTTATTATTCTTTCTTATTCTTCATTCTTCAATAGCCTTTTTTTTCTTATTTATTTTCCTTCTTTTTCTTTTTTCCCTCATCTTTTCTCTTTTTCTTATTTTCTTCTTTATCTTCTTTCTCTCCCTCCTCCTCTTATTTTCCCCTTTCTTCTTCTTCTCCTTCTTTTTCTTTTTCTTCCTCTTTTCCTCTTCTTTATTCTTCTTTCTCTTCTCCTCATCTCCTTTTCTTATTCTATTCTTCAACCTCCTCCTCCTCTTCCACTTTCCCTTCATCAATTTTTTCTACTTATTTCTTCCTGCTCTTCTTCCTATTCTCATTCTTATCCTTATTCCACTCTCTCTTCTCAACTTTTCTACTTATTCTTCCTATTCCTCTCTCTTCCTCCTCTTCCTCTCTTCTTATTTTCTATCTTTCCTTTTATTCTATTTTTATACTTTTCATGCCATACTTATGCCATCATGACCCAGCTCTTGCGTTGACCTGTATGCCTCTTATCTTGATATTAATTGAATCGATTTTCACAAATTATTTTTCTCGTGGTAGTCAATAGCGATCGTTATTTCGGTATATTGACCACTTTTTAAGCCGTTAGTGTTATGTTTTGCTGTTTTTTATCATTATTATTATTTTTAGTTTATGTTTAGTTTGGTTTTGTTTTGGCTTTTTATTTTACTTTTTCTTTTTTTTTGCAACTTTCGTTTTTTTTTTTTTTTTTTTTTTTTTTTACTTTGTTTGCTTTTTTCAACTTTCTTTTTGGGGGTCTGTTTTTTTTCTTTCTTTCTTTCGTTTGTCCATCTTTTACAGCGTTAATAGTGGCAGCATCAACATTAACAGCAGTTGTAATAATAACAACAATAACTACAACAGCAACAGTAGCATCAATAATAACAATAATAACAGCAACAATAATAGTACCAACAACGGTAACAACAATAACAACAGTGACAACAACAGTAACAACAATAATAACAGTGACAACAACAGTAGTGATAACAAAAACAGTAACAATAACCGTGACAAAAACAATAATAACAATAACAGTGACAACAACAATAATACCAACGACAAAAACAACAAAAACAGTAACCAACATCAACAACCAACATCAACAACCAACCTCACCCACCTCAAAAAAAACCGTAACTAACCAAGCCCCTCCCTTGTCCCCACCAGGTGTTCAGCGGCGAAGGCAAACGCTACCTGAGTACAGTCGACCCACGGAGAAGTAACTGGACCAGGTACCTCAGACCAGCACCCGACAGGGATTCTGCTAACTTGGTTGTGGTACCTCGGCCCATGCTAGAACCAGGTATGTGTTAGGGTGAGCGGTACGTGTGGGATGGTATGGTGGGTGTGAATGGGCGTGTGGGTTTGAGAGAAAGAGAAAGAGAGAGAGAGAGAGAAGGTGAAGTAGATGGAGAGTTAGAGAGAAATAGAAATAAAGATAGATGGAGAGAGAATAGATAGAGATAAATAGAGAGATAGAGATAAATAGATGAGAGAGAGAGAAATAGTGATATTGGTAGATGGAGAGAGAAAAAAAGAAATATAGAGATAGAGATAAATTGGTAGAGAGAGAGAGAGAGAGAGAGAGATAAAAAAGAGGTACACCAATGCAATAAGTACATAAACATATTTTTCCTTATAGTACAAGCAGGTCAATTTAGCATTGCAATTCTGAAAAATTAAAAAAAGACAACTAAACAGCGCATCTTTCTATCGATACCTGAGAGGAACTAATATAAAGACATATTCCTCCTGATAAATAAAACATAATTTTTTCACAGATATATATATATACACATTGTGAGGCAGACAGCACTCATTTGTAGCAGACAGTTCATTAACATGTATATTTGATATACATGATACACATACAGCTGGTACACAGGGTTGTCATTTTAGTGGAAAAAAAGTAGGATGTGTTTTATACCAGCTGTCTATCACTGGATGAAACAGATCATGAATCTTTTAAATAAAGTATGATTGTAATTATATTCGCTTAGCCTGCAGCAATTAAGTGATGTTAGAAAGATGTGTTATATATATTTTTTCAATTTATGCAAATATTAATGAATTAATAATTCATTATAATGGATGAATTCATTATTATAATTTATGGTTATAATGATTAAAACATTATGAGGAGAGTGATCACAGTTATGATAATGATAATGATGGTGATAATGATATTGCTACTATTACTAATGCTGATAATAATGATAATGATAATGCTAACAATATGATAATGATGATAATGATACTAATGATAATAATGATAATAGTAATAATGATTATGATGATTACAGTAATAATAATGATAAAAGTAATGAGGGTGATAATGATAAGAATGACAATGGTAATGATAAAGATAATAATACTGATAATGATAATAATATAGTAATGGCAATAATAATCACAATAATATAATTAATATCATCATTACTATTATCATTATTAGTATTTTATTATTTTTTCTTTTTTATTATCATTATTATTATATCATTATCACCATTATTGCTGTCATTGTCGCTGTTGTTATCATTTTCGTAATAATTCTTTATTGCTGGTTAAATCATCATTACCACTATTATTTTCATCATTATCATTATCATCATTATTATATATCATTATTATCATTATTCCATTATTCTTTCATTATTACCATTTTCATTACTGTTCATTGTCAATGGCAATGCCTGACAATAATGATATTGATAATAATGACATTTGTAGTAATTGTGAAAAAGTGATGATATTGATGATGATGATCGTGATGATAATGATAATAATTATAATGATAATAATAGTGCTAACAATAATAACGAATAATAATGGTGTTAACAGCGATTGTATTGACAGCAAATACTGCAACACCAATAATAATGATAATATTACTAATAACAATAGCAACGTGAATTTCAATAACATTAATAATGCGCAGTCACTAATAGAAATAATAAGTATAAGAATAATAAAGTGCAAAAGATAAACAAGGAGAATTAACTCAGTAAGTAAAAGAAATAATAGATATAATGATAATAAAGAACAAAAGATAAACAAAAATAATAAACTCAGTAACTAACAGAAAAAATAAATATAAGAAAAATAAAGTATAAAAGATAAAAAAAAATAATAAATAAAACTAATAGAAATAATAGATATAAGAATAAAGTACAAAAGATAAACAAAAAGAATAAACAGTAACTAATAGCAAAAAAATAAATATAGGAATAAAGTACAAAAGATAAGCAGAAAGAATTAACTTATCAACAAATAGAAAGAATAAGTATAAGAATAATAAAGTACAAAGGATAAGCAAATAGAATTAACAGTAAGTAATAGAAATAAGTATAAAATAATAAGTACAAAAGATAAACAAAAGGAATAAACTCAGTAACTAACAGAAAAAATAAATATAAGAAAAATAAAGTACAAAAGATAAAGAAATAACTCAGTAACTAATAGAAATAATAGATATAAGAATAAAGTACAAAAGATAAACAAAAATAATAAACTCAGTAACTAATAGCAAAAAAATAAATATATAGGAATAAAGTACAAAAGATAAGCAGAAAGAATTAACTTATCAACTAATAGAAAAAATAAGTATAAGAATAATAGAGTACAAAAGATAAACAAAAAGAATAAACAGTAACTAACAGAAAAAATA